TTGATGTATATGTACAACGGTGGCACTGTTGGCGTTTGCATATGGAAATGTACATGAATAGTCAATAAATATACTTATACATCATAAATAATATATTCTTTGCGTTTGTATTAACTATACTAAATCAGGAATAGAACCTGGTTGAAAGACCAACCTCTACTACGGCACGGATAAACTCAAGTTAAATATTTGAATTGTCATTTTGATTACCATAAAAAATAGTTCTCACCTCTCCAGTCTGATTTTATACCGAGGGACAAACAATAGACATCGTTTCACTATTTCTTATTAGTTTGGCCCTAAAGCGAGACGAAATAATGATACATATATGTTGTTTAAATGCCTATGTGTATTTGTACATATCGCCAGGGCCGTATTTAGGTAACCGAAGTCACTGGTAAATCTTTATATAGTAACAATTGTTAAAATAAATAAAAAGTTAATGCTTCGACTGTAAAGTACAAGAAGTATCCCTAATCCTTTATAATGATAAATTATGGTAACTATTGAATAACGAATTTTTGCATTAGTAATAGTTTATAATAAGTGGAAAATAATATTTAAATGAAATTAATTTATATTTCTTATATAAAATATCATTAACCATAACAATGATAATAATCCTTATTTATCATTTCATGACAATATAGTATAACTTTGAACTAGTTCTTCTAGTTCATTATAAAAATATTTCTCATAAATAAAGATCGTTTCAAATAAAATAAAGACCATTTAAACAAACGTTAAACAATTAGTGGAAATACATTTTTAATAAGATTTCTTCCTTTCTTAGATTTTGTAATTGGTAGCACATTTTTTTAATAAATATGTTATAGTTCTTTCTGAATTAAGGTTTATGTTATTGGAAGTCCATGAATCAAAGATGCGTAAAACAATTGAGGACTGGTTATAAATCATTACATAAATAAATATCATTAAAAAAACAAAAGCAAATGCCATTTATGTTTTATATTTTTTAATACTTATTTTTATACCTTCAAATTTTAAGTAAATTTTACAATAATTTATAATCCATGCATCGATTCATACGTAGGCCAAGCTGGAGTCTGGATAGGAAACGCAACATGGAAACTATACTGTCTTGAACTCGACTTTGAACCGAAAGCCATATCAGCAATCCTAGTAAAAGATCGAATTGGCAAGCAGACAACTGCTATACCTCATTTTTCAATGAGAGTGCCAAAGGTCAATTAGTCCCAAGAAATATTATGGTTGATCTGGAGCCAACGGCTATCAATGAAGTTTAGGTAGGAACCTATAGAATAGATAATTTGATATCTTCTAAAGAATAATGCTGCCAGTCACTTTCAAATACATTCGTTCTTCAATGCAAGTGCCATTGGTCAATTGGTCCCAAGGGGCGAATATGGTTGACCTGGAGCCAACGGCTATCAATAAAGTTTAAGTAGAAACCTATGGAATAGATAACTTGACATCTTCTGAAGAATATGCTGCCAGTCACTTCAAATACATTCGTTCTTCGATGCAAGTGCCATTGGTCAATTGGTCCCAAGAAGCATTATGGTTGATCTGGTGCCAACGGCTATCAATGAAGTTTAGGTAGGAACCTATAGAATAGATAACTTGATCACTTCTGAAGAATATGCTGCCAATCACTTTCAAATACATTCGTTCTTCAAAGCAAGTGCCATTGGTCAATTGGTCCCAAGGGGCAAATATGGTTGACCTGGAGCCAACGGCTATCAATGAAATTTAGGTAGGAATCTATAGAATAGATAACTTGATAACTTTTGAAGAAGATGCTCGCAGTCACTACGCTTGTGGTCACTATTCAATCGGAACAGATGGAAAAGATGTTATGGATCGTGTGCACAGGCTGAACTGTACAATGTACAGGTGTGCAAGGTTTCTTTGTATTTAATTTATTTGGAAGTGGTACTGGATCCGGCTTTTCATCGTTATTAATATAAAGACTCACTGACACCTACCACTAGAAATGTAAGTTGCAAGTTGCAGTATATCCAGGTCCGCAGGTGTCAACGGCTGTTGTAGAACTTCTCCATGTTATTTTAACCACACATGCAACTATTTCAGCAGCAGGCGTAGCATTTATGGTTGATAACGAAGCTATTTATGATATTTGTCGGACCAAGTTAGAAATTGAACAACCTCGCTTTCCGAATTTGAGCTGTTTGATCAGTTATGTGGTTTCTTCAATCACTGCTTATTTTTGTTTTAATATAAATTTTTATATAAATGTAACACTTGGACTAATTAATGGATAATTAAATGTCAATTTGAATAAATTTCAGAATAAATTTTTAATTTATTTTGTTATAAAATCTTGCACCAATTGTTTTAGTAAACGAAACTCATAATGAACTTTTAAGTGTCAATAAGATTGCAATTCAATTGTTTAATCATTTTAATCAAATGGCAAAATGCGATACAAAAAGAGATGAATATATGGGATGCTGTAAGTTCTATCGTGGTGATGTTGTACCGAAATAACTGTAAATTCAGTCCAATATTATTACAATACATTGGTATAATGTCCGAAGTATTAAATGTTCAGATTTTGTAATTAATTTATTTTTAATTTTAATATTAGGTTTCGTTGCCAGTTAACTCGGAAAAAAAATATTAAATAGTAATTTGAACATTTGGAGATGTCGTACCAAAAGATGAAAAAGCTATCATAACTATTCTTATAGAAAAAGAGTGCGCGTTGCTACTGTACAAGATAGCATTTAAGTGAAAATAAATACATCATATAACAACTTTGAATAATGTTTATTAGTAATATGGTAACACCCGTGATGCACACATTTATTAGTGTCAAGCATTATACATATTTATATAATGATAATTTATAAATCATATATTTATAATAGCATTAAAAATATGTATAATATTTAAAAACAATAATGTAATTAAAGTCACACTTCAAGTATGACATGATCGGTTTGTCATTGTAATTAGCATTTAGAAATGAACCTTCATTAGAGGAATGAAGTAATTGCTGATTAATAACTTCTATAATATATATTATTATATATAATATATAATATTCGTTCACACAGTTCTTTATAATATTTATTATTATATTTCTTCTATAATATATAATATTCGTTCACACAGTGGATTATGTTAAACAACGTCAACAAATATTGTTTAGCAACTTCACTCGTCATGTAATTGTGTTTGAAGAACTTCATGTAATTAAAATTAACATACATTCATTAGCTAATGGTATTTCTTTTTCTTTTTTCTTTGAACAGCTGTAATATCTGTTTTGCCTAAAGAATATTTTCCATTTCAATAACTTCACAGATTTATAGAAATTACGAATAATATAGAAATTTATTTTATTATTTTTATTATAATTATTTATGGGGGACAGGGTAAAATATTCTTCTGATTCAGGCAGTTTTCATTAGATCAAGATTTGTACTACGATGTAACTTTAAAATGTTAAATTCTCTATTCACATTAGCGACAGATCTCTATTCACATACGCGACGACAAAAAATCTCCCTGTCAAGCAATTTTATAACATTATTGACAAAAAAAGAATATATGGTGCGCTATATAAATATATACAATCAAATAAAATAAAATTATAGAGATAACTTATAAAATGTATGTGACTAATGTACGTGTGTACAAAGTCAACAAATAAACAATAAAGAAAAATTTCATAAAGATCAAGATTCACCAAAATTCAAGAAAAAAATCTTATTTAAGAAAAAAAGCGTTCAATGTTCAAAGGGATTAGAATAGAAAAAGAGAAAAGAAATATTATTAATACATGCACTTGTCGTTGGTTAAATACGACACTGTATTATCGTTGCAACGACCGGTTCTTCTTACCAAATATCAAAATAATCCCGATAAAAACTTTGAAACTCGCGCTGCACAACAGTTGACCAACAACATCGGACGGGATAAGTTACGCGTTGACAAATTAATTACATTAATTAGAAAAAAAAAACTAATTGTAATTTTATTTCATTACAATAAACGTGATAAATAAAAATCAGCTAACTACTATTTTTATAGAAAAAAATTAACATTAATAATTAATATTTATTAAGTTCGTTACTATGGCTTCCACTTTGTTAAGGATAGGATTAAGGAACGTTAATGGTATCTTAGAAAAACATTTGGGTGTACTATCAATTTGTCTCAATGGTGCCCAAAATAGTGGCGTGAATTTACTGCATACACAAAGTCTGGTAAGTTTAAAAAAATATTCAAATATCATAATAACAGATGTAAAGATTTTTTTAAAAATTAAACTAGGAATGAAATAGTAATAGTATTTTTTATGTTTTTTTTTTGCTATTTGATTTTTTTTCTACTTGGTTTACTTTTTGGTACTTATTTCTAGGTATCATAATTTCTGATATGTATTTTTGCGGCAGAAATTAAATAAAATTAGTTTTTATTTATATTTGAGAATGAATAATCTATATAAATCTATTAGAGATATATCTCTATCTCTAACTATATAGTTAGAGATAATTATGTGATTACTACTATATTGGATGTCTGTTATCAAAGTTGACTAGAATTTTTTTTATTAGAAATATTTAGTTTTATTATTGGTAAATAAAAATTGACAATAAGAAGTCATTGCACTTTTACAACTATACATTAATTATATTCATTGTAAAAATGATTTGATAAAATATTAAACCAGCAATTATATCTTACATGTGAAAACTTTCAGTTAAGATATCATTAGAAATTATTTCTCCAATCCCCTGATATTGCAAAATTAGTAAGATAAAATGTATAAAAATTCAAACTCAAAATAGAATAACTTATAAGTAACTTCTAAAGAATAATAAAATTATTAGTATATGATTATTAAAAACTTTCAGTTTATAAACGTGACAAAATGAATAATTTTTGAGTCCTAAACAAGCTTATAAAATAAAGCTACAAAAAAGTTTAAATGAGAAGTAATTCTGAAATTTATTCATTCACATCTCACATGTGAAAACTTTCAAGACATTGTTAAAAATTAATTCTTCAATAATATAATAGTGTGAAATTAGTAATATAAAATGCATAAATAGTATTGACCACAAATAATCACTAGAAAAATAAAATTATATTATCATATGATTTTTGAAAATAACAGAGTAAATATTTCTTGAGTCTCTTGATTTTTTATAAATTAAATATATGTACTGAAAACAAAGCCTCAATTGCTTAATTTCTAAATTTATTTATTTTGATTATAGGTTTACGACCTTATATACTCTGAAAAAAACGACATTTCTCTTTAAAAAATTGAAAAAATAGAATTACAATAAAGTAATAATTAAAATAATAAAATAGGACGAATAAGAATAAAAAATGGAATACGTGGTAAATAATACAAAATAGTAATAAATAATAACAAAAAAAAGTATTTTTTTTTAGTTTTAATTTAAATTGTAACTAGTGGTGCATGACATATATTGCCTTAAAACAAATTCCTAGAACTTTCCGTACCGTAATTAAAAGCTTAGATTTTTTTGTAAACATAATTATAACATATTAAAATCTCTATAAAAATCTATAAATATCTGATAATTTTATGTGCATATGTCGATTGATCATTTTATACAATAATACAATTGTAATGATTTTCGAATCATTGAAATCAAACGCTTCGTTAGATCAAAAACTAAATTGTCATTTTTTCAACTTTTTGCCCCGTATCTTCAAAACGGCTGAAACTACTTTTACCAAAAACTGATCAGCACGTCTTCCCATCAATAGGTATCGAATGTTTTTCGAATCATTCAAATTGGTTGATCCGTGCGCCCAAAATCATTGGCACGAAAAATTGTAACCAAACATACATACAAACACACACATCTCACATTTTTTCTAAGGTATGCCAAAATGTTCTAAAACGTAAAATATGTAAACATTTTCATTTCGATTTCATACGGGAAGACGGATAGAAATAAATATGAGCAAAGCTAATTTTTTTTTTCATTTTGGATATTGAATATTATTGTCTGAAGTGTTGGTGGAATCAAAAGCTCTGAAATGATTTTGAATTAAATAAAATATATGATTATGTATATTATTTTATTTGCTTTATCAATATAAATTAAAATAATTCTGATAACATACTGTACTAGGTTACATTTAAAACATCAAGAAAAATATTACATTAACATAACTTTGACTTTGATTTGATACGTTTTTCCTATTTTTAACTTTCCATAGGATAAACTATAGTAATCGCAAAAAAAATGAAAATAAAATTTTTATATATTTTTACGTTTCAGAAGTTTCTGAACATTTTGGCATACCTTAAAAAAATAGATGTATGTGTGTGTGTGCGGATACAAATTTTTGTCGACGATTTCAGGAACACGGATCAATCGATTTAAATAATTAAAAAAAACATTCAATTTGTATTGAGAAGGAGACGTGCTGATTACTTTTTGGCGAAGGTAAGTCTAGGCGTTCCGAAGATACGGGGCAAAAAGTGCCAAAAACGGTAATTCAATTTTTAAGAGAACGGAGCGTCCGATTTTAATAATTCAAAAAACATTTTATTTATATTGACAAGATGAAGAACTGAATAAACTTTTGGGAAGGCAGGTCCAACGGTTATGGACTCTCAATAAAAATAAGTTCAAAAAATGTCATTTGGCGGTCAAAAATGTTTATTAGACATATGTACATCAAATTATCAGATATTTTATAGAGATTTTAATAATGTGTACACATGTTGTGTATTTTTTTTTGGGGTTTCGTACCAAGATTTTTAATTATGGTACGGAAAGTTCTAGCAATGTGCCTTAAGGCACGATGCCATGCACTCCACTAGGTAATAATGCAAATATTTATTATATATAAAAGAGTATTATTATATTTGGTTATATTAAAATTATAACCCAATTTATTACATTTTTGATATTTTTTATACGCTTTATTTACATATCGATAGTTTCTAATAAAATCAAATGATCTCTACTATCAACGTCCGATAGAAATGTTGTATAATAAAAAATCCAAATCCAAAACCAAAACGAAACGAAATAGAGGTCATCGTACCGTCGCACCGACCGACTGTCCCGTACCCGTAACTCGTACCCGTACTGGAGTATGGTGTATGGCAGTGATTCCCAACCTTTTTTGGGTCCCGCCCCACCTTAAGGTTTCTAAAAACGTTATGCTCCCCCCATACAATTTTTTTTGTTCCTGAAAAAAATGCGAATGATAACTTTTAAGATAAAATCACTATTAAATTCTGATTAGACATCATAAGTCAAATTTCCGAATAAGCCAAGATAACGAAAATTTCTAACTAATTTTATTACTAAACTTTTTAAAAAGTCAGGTCACCCCGGGAGAAAAAATATAACTCCGGCACTAGGCAAGCAAGGTTAAAAACTAGGACCTTAGTTCAATCTAGCATTTTTTGTTAAATGTTTTACCGATACCATACTAAATTATATTCAAATCATAAAAATTTTCAAATTGCCCCCTGTATTTACAAATTGCCCACGGGTGGGGCGTGCGCCCCACGTTGGGAATCACTGGTGTATGGTGTTCGGTGTATGGTGTGCCCATGATGCCGTTCCACTTTCATATCCAAATATCCGATGCACACGCCAAGGGCATTCCTTCCTCGCACACATCGGGAAATTATTACCGAAAAATTAAACACGCCAGTACCAGTACTACATCAGTTTACGTTTTCACTTAAAACTCACGTTAAAATATGCACGGATTTAAAACGTACATGTGGGCAGGTTTACACATATGCACAATTAGACGGGGAGTGGTTATTACAATTTTTTACAGACTCTATTACCTGAGATCTATTTGGAAATTGTTTAAAATCATTTTCGATTTTGCGTTATGTAGGCAAAATCGCAAAATGATTTTTTTTTCTTACTATTAGTTTGCAAAAAACTCTGATCATTTTCGTCGATGTACTGTTGGCAACTACCATATTATAAGCAATATGTTAAGTAGAGTAAAGCGGGGCACAAAGATCCAATTTGACTTTGGACAATTATATTGTGAGAACCATGCAATTATATCACACATATCAAACAAAGAACTATATGACTATGTTCAATAAAAGTTACAGCTAATTCATCATTGTAAAAATTTTTTTGTTGCTGTTTTTTCAAAAATTTGTCACCTGGTCCTTTTACACAATAGGCGATGTAAATTGGGACGGCCAGGAGGCAAACGGGTCCAATGTCTTATTTTTTATTGAAAAAAAAAAAAAAACACGGGCTCGCCCGTAGGTAAGCGGTTAAGAGCGACGGGACTTGTTTTAGAGGACCCGGGTTCGATAACCACTTCGAGCAGCCTGTTGTCAGGCAGCAGTGACAACGATTTTCACTTGAAAATATAGATAGCAATATGTTTCCAAGTGAAAATAGCCCTTGCCCGGCATTGCTGCACCAATAAAATGTCAGCCCTATTGGATTAATTCTAATAACAAAATCATCAAATATGAATGGATTAACCATTGGGTTACCATCTGAAAAAATACGAAGGAAGGAGAAGTTTCAGCCCAACAGCTCATAGGACATAAGGTTCTAATTGCTGTTCAAAAATAATTAAAAAAAAAATTACTAAATATAAATTTCATGTGTACATTTGTTATAAAGATAACACTGTATATAACATTGATCTGTAAAGGTTTAGTTGGCCTTTTTACCCCAACCACGTGCAAGCTTTTATACAGGTTATATTAAAAAAAAAAACTGTTGGACTAACTTTAACTTATCCAACCAAATCTCTAAAGCTTCTTAGAAATCGTTTCTTAAAATAAAGAGGTTAAGATACTGAGTAGTAAAGTCAATTATGCTAGAACCGCTAATGAGCATACATTTTTTAAATACTAGCACTAAATTCTGCAAGTAATAATTAAATATAAAATCTACAATCCTTATAAAAAGTATTTGTTTTTACATACCACAAGTAACCCAATAATTAGCATCTCTTTATTTGGTGGCAGCGGTAGGTAAACATTTTCATTTGGTTTACCTTTAGTTTAAGAATAATGGTCGATTTATGAAAAGTGAAATTTAGTATTAAATTATTACTAACTTGCTTTAATATTAATTACTTGCTTATTGTATAATAGTTCTTACAATTTTTGGTGTATGTACCTTACAATTTAAAATTATGGATGTATATGTATATTAATGTGCATGAATTTATGTATATTAGGATGTGACTCTATTTCGAAAAAACGTCTGAATCTATTTGGATAGTTTATTCATTGAAACAGAAATTTAAACTAACTATAACTGTTCTATAAAATGTAATGTACTCTACTACCTAACTTTCTATTGATAATTTTTACATTGTAGCAACCATTTGGTTATCCTTTTCTATTAGTGATGATATATTTAAGCTTAATAGCAATGTCCAAAGTGGCTATTTTTACTTGAAAACATATCTTGATCTATACTTGATTTTTACTTAAAATAAATATCGCTACTACTTGATATTAGATGCCCTAAACGCGGATTTCAACCCAAAACTTAATAAATATTCAAAATAAAATGAATTTTGAGAACAGAGATAAAATCGACTGTAATATATAGTTTTTTATTCATTGAATACCCAATGATAAGGTTGATTACTCTTCGAAATATTAATATTTGTATTAAACTGTATCTGATTTATTATTATTCTAACCGATGATTTTACATAAATTATTAATATATTCATTGACCAGCTCTCATACTATTACCAAAAATCTCTATGCGTACGTGACGGTCGCGCAATGTTGTTTTTCGACCCGCGACCAACTAAAGACGAAATTTAAATATCCAAACAAAAAAATATGTTTTGTAATTTACTTCTTTTCCTCAAGATTACGTATAAAAAGAAACAGATCATAATTTTATGCTCTTGTACTTGTTTTAAATTGACACAAAAAATAATTAAGCATTATGCAAAATTGCAAAAAATAAAAACATACTAAAATATTAAAAATATGTGTTGATTACATTCTAGTTCTGAAAATTTTTATATTAAGACTAGGTTTATGCAGAGAATATTTTTTAGAGTATGTTTTGGATTATTCAGTACAAAGTCCTAAATGCAGGATGGTCAATTCAAAGTGAAAGCACCAATTTTGTACTCTAGTCCCTAGTTTGGCATTTACAAAGTATTATTAAATAACCGTAAAAAATATCTGTGACATATCTCCTTCAACAATAAATTATAATTAAAATGAAAATAGATAAAAATATTTTTTTCAAATATTTTCCTTTAAAAAACACACCCTGTATTTTACTCCAATCAATCAAATTGTTTAAAAGTTACCATAAAGGTTTGCAAAAATCAGTAAATTTTATCATACATTTAACTTTAAATCTTTCTTAAATTTTTTAAATAAGATTTTAATATATTAATTTGATTTTAAGGGTTTATACCCAATTTGGATTTAAAGTTAGAGCAAGTTGTGTTATAAAAATAATATTAGAAAAAGTTACGGATTACTCAATATTTAAGATCTTTTTACGATATGAAAATAAAAATGAATATAAAAAACTTCACTTCAGCGCGCCCACCTTATATTCTATATTTTACTGTGATTTTAATCTTATATTCTATATTTTAATGTAATTATTTATTCCTAAATAAATTCCTTATTAAATTACCATTAAAATTGAACTATTTTGAATTCATTAATACGATAGATAAAAAAAAGTATAAAAAGACCACAAACACGGCTGCTTTGTCATCACATCAATTTTAATTGTTTCCGCACTCCATAGGGGCGCCACTAACTTTAGCACGTAAATTTACCCCAAAGTTCAATTCTAGATAAGAATTATATAAATATAGAAATGATAAGATTAATTGGAACGAATGAATTAAGAATATAAAATATATATTTTCAACTAACAAGTCACAAATATGTTTTAAAAATTAATTTATAGTTAAAAATATATTTTAAAAACAAATTAAACGTTTGAAGTACGTGTATTATAAGTAGAAAATGAGTTCTTGAAAAAGTAATCAATTTAGTGAGAAAATTACTAAACCCGGGTAAAGCCATTTGTTATCCCATGATTAATAGTAAATTATTATATATTATTAGTTTTATACAAATAGTTTTTGAATAATACAATTGGTATTAATTTGATAAACAGTTTAAAAGATACAAAAAATATGTTGCCAATCCATGACTAAAATTGCTATGGATTAATAATAACTTAAATGATGATATATGTTAAATTATGTATGAGTAACACGGCTGATTAATATGTAATAGTCATTTATACCATATTCTTATTTTGAGCATATAATTTATAACATTTAAAATTTACAATAAATTTCATTGGTAATAAAATATGAAACAAGAAAGCCTTCAGCCTTAAAATATGTCACGCATACCAAAATGCGTACTTGATTTTGCAAAAATTATGCAAAGTTTCGACATAAATATTTATTTATGAGAAATTTCGCAAACGCGTTATTGATACGCCGAAATTTATCGGCGACAACAACGACGAACGAACTGAGAGCACCAATTCGATTTTGGTTTATTATATAGAAAGTAATCAGAATTACATTACGATTTTTCTTAATTCGTGATAAAAATAATGTTATATAACGACAAGTTTTCTTAGCTTTGTAATAAAATATCCACAGTCTTATAATAAAAATATGTTTTGCAATAAAAAATAATACAGTTTTATAAATCTATTCAAATAATCCACTCTCCATGGAGTGAATTCTAAGTTAATATTTTTTCTTCTATTCTAACTTTTATTCTCTCTATACATGCAACAATAGCTTATAAGAATATCTTGATTTATATTTCGGGAAAAAAAAAGTGAGTCTATAATAAAATTAGCAAACAACTTTTATGTTATTAGTATTTTATGAACAACTGATGTAATGTCTTATGCAGTTGTATGATCAAGCAAATAAAAAAAGGACAACTTCACTTTTTAACTTCCCTTTATGTTTTCGCCAAAAAATCCGGTTTGCTAATATTATGTTCTCCCGAAGTTTTAAGGCATTCTGAATCGTTTTATATAAAAATTGGATAAGGTATGTGTGTTTTAATGTCAAATTTGACATTTACTGTCGAATTCGTCGACGTTTTCGAAAAAACAGTTACACCGTCTTCAATATTCGATGAAATGCTATAAGGATTGGCGTTGATTAGATTTGCGAAATGATCGGTATAGCCGTTTCTTTTCAATTAACAAATAAGTGCAAAATTTCTCGTCTACGTTTTAGTCACAAATCCTAAACCAATTTCAAAAAGTCAAAAACTGAAAGATATCACTGGGATTGTGTTGGTGTTGATTAGTTTTGCGTAAAGATCATCTGAACGTTACTTCATAATTAATTGTTAATTTTTTATGATTTCAATGAAACTTTGATGATGAAGATCATGGTCTTAGTAAACATCCTTAAATCAGAGATCTACGAAAAGTGGTTTAATTATAAGAAATCATTACTGATTCGAATAGTGGGTAGCCAAAAGTTCAAAATTTTGAATCAGCTTATTAAATATGTCTTACATATACATCTTAGAAGGCGTCCAATAATCACGTGATCTATTTTTTATTGAATTTTGAAGCCCCCCTCCCTTGATGCATCACGCGATTAATAGACGCCCCCTTAGAAAATATTAATAAAATTCTTATTAAATATGTTGAGTATTTTCACATATCAAAAAGTTCAAAGAGCTTGCTTCAAGGCAAAACGCCACTTACACCTGATTATTATATTGTACAAAACTCACAATTTATCGCATAACTTTAGAGAGTAGTGTTTTTAGTAAAATAAAATGTTAAACATAAAATTTGCAATTGTAATTATTTTAAACAGAAACATTTCCAATACTATTTAGTACAATTTTTTCAACACGTCCAAAAATATTCTTCTTTAATATTGAACGAATGAGAAGAAAGTTCAGCACAGGAGGAAGTATACGCTATACAATATTAACAGCGAACGTGTTATTAAAATTTATCATAATCTTTTATCGTATTCGATATATGAGAACTTTAAAATTTTATAATGTAAATAATAAAACGATTATATATTCAAGCAAATTTCAATTCATACACATCATCTTGAAAACGATTATATTATTGTTATCTAGTTGTAAAAGATTCTATAATTATCCTATCTTCGTGAAAGTCAAAGAGCAACGAATTTGATAATAAAAATTAAATAAAGCTTCTTCCACTTCTATATGAACAGATTCGACACTTATGATGAATCTGTCGAAATAATATTAATATCTTCTACTAAACCATATCAACGAATTATCTTATCAGCTTGGCCTAATTTTTATATTAAGCCGAATAGTGAGATACCAATTTGATAGTTTTTTAAAAAAAAATTATATAGTGATAAACCACTAATTTTTTATTGTAAATCAACTGCTAGCTTTCACAAATTCATATTTAAAATGAGTCCATTTAATATCAATCATTTTTTCGGTATGTATCTAATATCGTTGTTACTTTTTCGTAGTACATTAATAGTCTTTTATTACAAAATTTGAAAAAAAATAATTATTTTTTTACAGATTGGCCAAACGACAAATACATTAGTGAAGAAGAAAGCCCAAGAATATTCCCTACAAAACTGCCGAAGGTATTCCGATAAAAGGGCGACCAAGGGACGCCAACAAAGTGATTCTGATAGTGATTCGGATAGCGATGACGAGGATCCCAAAAGAGACAGGGTAAGTAAAAAACAAATATATAAAGGCCAATCATAGACCTTATACTACATGGACTGCTAGTCGAGCGCAAAATAAGTGCTCAAACATAAAAGGGTATGTGACGTCACTTGCTGAACGAACGTTACCGACAATCGCGGAACTCTCTTAATGCATATGCTCATAAAAGTGAAGCTTTCAGCTCGCGTGGCAGGTTGAAATCGTCTGGAAATTTCATTTTGGAACTAATTAACGAATAAATAAAATTATGTAAAAGTTGAAGCTTAAGAGAACAAGTTTAATTTTCGGATTTTTTTTTTGCATTTTCAAACTCTTGATGGATGATGATGGGCAGGACTCAAACCTACCAGGCGATAGTTTTCGTACCTAAGAACCTCCAGTACAAAAATTTTTAGCCTTACAGGAACACTATTTTGTAATAATAAATACTATTTAAGCAACATAAAAAATCAGTCTATTCTCAATGAATCATTTTTCAGTCAGAATTGCTAACTTCTAGCAAGAACTTTATTATTATACTCTTTGTAAATAACATTATCAGATATTTGATAAACACTAGTAATTTTAGTATTAAAGTCAGCGCAAGAATCCAATTTAAAGCTATACTTTTCAAAAATCCGGGACAATCCGGGACTAAAGATCTAAATCCGGGACAAATATTGCTTTTTGGAAAACTCGGGACCCAAGGTGGCAATCCAAACCGGGACGTATGGTCACGTTACCAGTAGCTAATATTTACTGACAGATTTTGATCAAAAAATTTATATAAACTTATTTTTATAAAAATATTTGTACGATTTTAAAAACTCAAGAAACGATTTTTATTCATTTTCTTAAAAAAAGATTGGTTATGCGAATGTTGTACCATACTAGAATTTTTTTCCCACAATTACAGCTTTGCTACATAAATATATACCATTGCTGATGCAAAATACAGTAGTTAGTAAATAGAAATAGAAAGTGAAAAGTTTTAACACTGTTCTGAAATTTTGGCAAATAGTAATGTAAAGTATATACATTAGAGTCATTTATTATACACGTATTATACAAGATCTATTTTTCTGCAATTTTTGGAGGAGCTGATTGGATGAGAACTGCCAATTTAGTGATTTTAATGATGAGCAAAAACATAATTTACGATTTAGATGTTACAATAACAGAGACAATAAATTTTTCTAATAATTGTTCGAATTTAAACATTTTTTATGAGTTCATAATTTTGTACAAAGATTTTCGTCAACACAAAAAAATTCAAAACTCGCTTATAAAATAATTATCAAAATATTAAACTGATTGATTTATCTATCACGTAAAATTTGAATTTGATTATTTCATAATTTAACTTCAAGAAACGTCTGATGTAAAATAATTTAAGACAAAACGAATACTAAATTTTAATTGTTTTTTCAAATTCAATGATGGACTTCTCTATTTTTTCAAACATTTATATCAATAGTGAAGAGTTGTATAACTGAAAGTAGTCCTTAGGTTTATTTTTTATACTTCATGAAAAATTTCATATTAAAAATTTTAGAATAAGATTTAAACTTATTGGCATCTACAAGTACAATTTGTAGACTCATATTAATTCACCTCGCAATTTGTTTTAACATGTTTTCATCCAATTTAATTTATATTTTAATGTAATTGCAACTGTAATTGTAATTAATTAAATGAAATTTGAAAATTATAGCCTCTTGTAAGTTGAAAATTATACCCTTTCCACTCGCGAATTGCTAGATTTATATGAATTTGAAATTGGAATGCACCCGATTGGAAAGGGTTATATAAAAAAATCAAGCTGTCGATGGCAGTTAATAGAGCAAAAATAAATGTATTTAATCCATAACTTCACTTATCTTTTCTCTAAAAGAGTATTTTTTTGCGCGTGAACTATAAACAAAACACAGAATATATTGACCTTAAATACAACAATTACAATACAATCTATATTTAGTATTTTTCTACAAATCTGAAATACCAGAAATCGCCTAATAATCTAGAAAAACATTTATTTAGAATCGAAACAACAACTAACGAGCGATAACCTTAGAGAAGATGTGTTTTTACACCCACGAGCCATTGTTTGATAACGATGTTAATAATTGCAAAACAATATTAAAAAAAATCAGTATAAATCATTGTTATAATTCACAATTTTATATGTGATATAATTAAACATGATAAACAAATAAAATAATAACAATGAATTTGTCATAAATAAGTTGTAAATTGAGTTCAATAGATTGTATAAGTATAATTGGATACATAATGAGATATATAGTAAATCCCAGTTAAGACAATTCTGCAGGACAGGACCAAAAGCGACAAAGTACTTAATAAAGTGACGTGTTATGCGATAAGTCGTATTAAGCATTATAGACCTTAACGGTGTCGCATAATGTCATTAAAAAATGAAGATTTTAAAAAATTATTTTAACTGCAATGATTATACCAGCTTAAATTTAAATTAATCAATTTAAACATAAACCAATTGATCCGATTTAGACATTATATTTCTATTCTTTTCTACTTCTTCTTCATGATGAAAAGGTGCAAAAAAACTGCACTACTTTATATAAACAATAAATAACCTATGTTTTCGGAAAGTTCTTGACTCCCAAAATAAGCTTACAGAATTTTATTTAAATAAAGTTTAAATTACAAGAGTAACAAAATTAAAAAAAACTTCAAATTAGTTCAATTCCTAAAATTACTTTGAGAGTGAATGATTATTTGACAAATTGAAAAAATATTTAAAAATTACAAAAGAAATGATAAATTCGTTTATTTCATAAATTTTTTTAATAAACTTATATTCGGTTTGACCATTTGCATTTAATGCTTTTCATTAAATTTTGTCTATATAGAAATTTACATAAACAACAAAGATTTTTTTAAGAGATATAAAAGAAACTCAACCGCGTTTTTTATGAAATTTACTGCAGTTAACTTAAAAGTTAATTTAAAAATTTTAAAAATATATTTCAACTATAATGGTTATATAAATCTACAATACAGTTCCTGTAAGGCCAGAATTTTGTGCATGTATATAGCCATAGAGAATAATCAACAATGCCACCACCAAAATGATCATATAAAAAACTCACCATTTGCAGAATTTATTGACCTGCAACATCCCTTTGCCTCTTTTTGAATCCAGGAAATATCGTCGCACTTTTTTGAAAAATACATGACTTTCTAAACACTATCACTATGTTTTAATCTAAAACCACACATAATTTGTATTTTATTTACACAACTCACTGATCAAAACATTATTCACTGATAAGAAAACACTATTTCGTTCATTCATTTCGTCACGTACACTTTCTTCAAAACTCATTACTTCGGAATGCACTTTGATAATTTTGTTTGATGATGATTGTCTTTGGCACCAGAAAGTCTATCTTAAAATAGTTTGAAACAAAAATTTGATTTTGAACAATGTAATCAAGTGCCCGAAAACTTTTAGCTGTTAACTTTCAAAAATAGCTTCAGAGGACATAATATCCACTAGAACTCTTTACTTTTACTAATTTATTTTTTATATAAAAAAACTGCTACTGGCAACTTGTACCCATTGTCATTTATTAATTATATTTACTAAGGATGATACAAACTACTACAAGCTCTTCTAAGGACAATTGTAAAGTATTTGATGAAATAAAATTAAAAAAAAAAATAACAAAAGTAGTATTGAATGAATTCATTTGGCAATTTGATTATATTTTACGTAATTTTATTCATGTAATAATTAACAATAAAATTTTGAAAGCTATAAAATTATAGCAAAATATAATATTTATAAAAAAGGCGCAAATTTTATGAAAAACGAGGAAAGTTACTTGATGTATCTTTCTCAATAAGGTTTTTTCTTCGAGAGACAGTAGAATATGATTTTTAAAAAAACAACTCCCAAACGTTTTATATTGCTTTAACATTAAATATTATTTACTATTTCAGGGTTCAAGTGCATTTTGGAGAAGAAAAATGCGAACCTTGCATGGAATTATGGACGTCAACAAGGACGGAATCTGGTCCTACGATGATGTACTATTGATGACTGAACGTTTTACAGCTTTGGGACATCTTTCCGATGCTGAGAGCGAAGAATTCAAAAATATTATGACGGTAATAAGAAAATAAATAAATGTTGACGCCAAAGAAAATAATTTAAAAGAATAGGATTTAGACAAAAGTTTTAAAAAGTTTGGCAACTAACTATTTCCCATCGCTTGTTGCCAGTAATACGATGGGATTTTCCCCTTGTGGCCAACTTAAGACTCCAATATTACAGGTCTCAAGCATAAACGCCACTAGGGGGTCTTTAAGAAAAGAAAAATTTTAGAATTTAGAAATTTAGAGAAGAAATAGTTTAGAATAAATCAAATATGAAAACGTTGAAAATAAGTTACTTTAGAGATTTGTAGTAGTATATAGCGAAGATAGTATGTATAGTAAAAAATTTAAATCTTATTTACATGCAAAGTTGCACATTTTATAGAACTGAAGTAAATATTGAAACGGTGTTAAGTATTTATATATTAGCCCTTTTCTTTGGATAGGAGACATATGGCTCTTTTCCTTAGACCCATGGTTAAGAAATTAGTTTTTAATAAGAGCAAAAACGTTATTTTAGAAATAATCATTATTTTAGAAATTAACTTTATAATTTATTAAGTTAAATCTTAATTCATATTGATTAAATTTACTATTTACTAAGATCGGAAAGTTTTGCAACTCGCCTTAAGACAAATTTTATAATATAATTGGAGTTATTATATAGATGACCAAAGTATAATTGATTTTAATTGTTTATATATTTTTTAAATAATCACCAGCGCACATGGGAGGAGCAATGGGGCGAGGTATCTCCTTACAATTTGGTAACAGTTGAAAAATACTTGGAAGAAATGCATCACATGTTGAATGATAAAGATCTCAAAAAGAAGATTTCTAGTTTCCTGCCATATTTATTCAAGGTAAAAACCGATGTTTTTAATTAGCAAATAGAATTCACCAAATATTTATGATATAGTAAAATATTTTCAAATGAGAACTTATTACTCATCAATAATTCAAAGTCAAAATGAACTCAAAAATAAAATCAATATATCGTTGGAACCACAAATGACACCAAATTACCACCGATAATGCCAAACATGTATGTAGGTTCTTTCTGCTGCTAAACAAAACTGTTACCTGTGAAGGCTGATCGGTAAAACTGATGAAGACGTTTGATGTATTTGTTTATTTTATGACTTCTTGTACACTTCACATATAACTTTACTTAAACAACTGAACTTGAATATGATTAACTGATATACAACTGACTAACTCGACACCATTGATAACTAGAATACTACTGACTCATGTTGATCTGAATTTATGGAAACTAAATGACGACTGACCTATATTGATTTGAACTTTATGGAAACTAAACTATGACTGACCTATATTGATCTGAACTTATTGAAAACTTAACACTTTACTTAGTTGTTAGGGGGCGTCCATTAATCACGTGAGCGAGTTTTTGAGGATTTGTAGACCCCCTCTCCCCCTTGGTGATATTTGGTGATATTCAAAATTGAATAATAACAACTATTAAATTATTACCATTTACAGGCTGTTGACAAAGATAAATCAGGATACATATCCGTGCAAGAGTTCAAATTATTCTTTGCCTGTCTCGGTCTATGCCAGGACGCTGCAGCTGTTTCCTTTGCAATTATCGACACAAACCAAGATGGAAAAAATCTATGAAGGAATTTGTTAAGCATGGCAGAGAATTCTTTGTTACTGAAGACGAAAATAGAATCTCAAAAATGTTCTGGGGCCCACTTTTGGAACGCTAATTAATTCATAACTAGATGGTACATTATCATTTATACTTTTTGCATAATTTCAAAGTTTTAGTTATTTTTGATCATTTTTAAATTCCAATTTTTTCATAATACAATTTGACTGCTTATAAATAATATACTGATTACTTATTAAAAGTAATAATGTCTCAAATACTGTTGAGAATTACATATAATTATTTCTGACTATTATTAAGTTAACAAAACTAAAAAAATATGTTCTGTTATATTTTATTTACTTTTCATACTTTGCTTCCCTTTTCAAAAAGCGTGAAGTTTGTAAATTAAATTTTAATTTTAAATTAAATTTCAAAACAAAACCCATGAGTTGTTAAAAAAGAAATAACTTGATAAGAAAGTGAGACAATAATGTTTCCTACATAATAAGAAGCAACTAGTTTAAAAAAGTGATATTCTATGAAAAGCATCAAATTTGTTTATCTATAGATTTATTATTATTAAAACTTGTTATAGAATTAAAATAACCAATATATAATTTTAAAATAATTAATTTAGTCGAAACAAATAAAATCTTAAAGCTTATACTTGGTCACATCCATAGACAACATTCCAAAAAATATTTATATTGATAAACATTTGATTTACAAGAATCTAGATGTACTTTTGATACTCTTGTGATATGATAAAATATAATAAAAAATTAATAATAATACATTTTTTATTTTATCAAAAATATTTGCATTTGGTGTTTGTACAAAGCAATTATATTAATTAAAAACTAGTTTTAAATAAAACAAGCGAGAACAATGCAATAGATCAATTAAAATTATCTGAAGGATGTTTTCACAATTAAAAACTAATGATTACTTATAAGAAAATAATTAAAATTAATTGTACATCACTTAAATCTAAATAGAGATAGTATTTTAACTACACTAAATTTAAATGATTTTTAATCAATTTGATATCTTGCATAAGTTGAGTGATCTGCGCAGTCCTGAAAATTTATTTGAACTATTAGAAAACAAAATACTAATATAGTCAAAAAACTAATGCCAGAATTGATTAACTTATCATTTTGTATAATAAAGCGATATAATACTTTGTTAATAATAGAGCAGAACGTGGCTTAAACAGGTCTGCGAGGGAAACAGATTACCACCATTATCTCAAAAACAAATTAAGTACAGTGGTACCTCACCCTAAGCTGGAGTTATACCCTTTATCAACTCCTTTTCTGTTTAAACACAGTACATCTATGGTGGTACATTCTTGTCATCCTCATATTTTTTAATAATTTCACATTTTAATTCAAGACACGTGGCCCATTCTTTAAACCCACATTTATAAAAGTTATATTCGTGTGCTTAAATATGAGTACATGCCAAAGCGAGATTCATGACAGTAGTAGAAGTTGATAAAGATTTTATGTTCATTATTCACTCCTGGCCATTAAGCTTAAATTGATTAAATAATGTAGTTATTATTTTGAAAAACCTCTTTAAGAATAAAAATTAAATAGTGGTCTTTTGCCCCCTGGCTGTCCGCATATGCAGTAGAGAGGACCAGATGAAAATTTGACAAAAATAACAAGAAAAAAACACAATTCCACAATGATTAGAAATTTTACTGAGCATAGTTCGATAGTTGTTTATTTAATGTGTTATATGTTGTTCTGTTGTTGGTTTGGTTTTAATAGTATAATTACTAAAACTCAAACTAGACCATTGTGCCCTGCCCTATCCTATTAAAATTCTAAAATTCAAAACAATATTTCAATAGATCAATCATTATGGTAGAATATCATTGCAATCAGTTTTTAATTTAATACCCATATATAAAACATACCTTTCTTGTAGATTAAGTTTAATAGCTTCAAGTCGGTTGTCGTTCAGGTATAGATCTTTCTTCTGATCTTTACTCTCATACTGATTTATCTGTGATAAAGTGTTTGTTAAAATATAAAGATTTGAAGTGATTCACTATTTTAACCCCTTCGCTACTAGTTTGTTACGACTTTTGTTTCAAGATTTATCACTCAGGGTTGAATAATTGAGAATTCTGATTTGTTTGTGTGGTTTTTAGTTCTTTAGATAGGTGATTTATATTTTTGAATACATTCTCGTCCATAATAACTAAAAAAATCTTAAAATAATTAGTTTAACAAATATTTGCGCGGCTTGGTGGCTCGTATAGCAGCGTCACTTCTGTATAAAACACACTCGTTGCGAAAGGGTTAAAAAAGATTGTAAAGTATTAATAACAAGAGCATACAAATCAGGTATCAAATAATTTGAGTCGATTTACACAAATTATTTCTCATATTTTTAAACATGATAGTTCAATTTCATAAAATATAAATCAAAATAAGCCAAACCATCAAATTATCATTTAAATATATCTTATATTAAATAAAAATTACCATCAATTTTTGTTTCTCAATATTTTGCCTGGCCGAGAGTATCTGTGCTTTAAAATAATTAACTTTGGTCCCTAATTGCTTCACTTTA